TAACCATCTTACAAACTACATCTTAATACAAAAAAGTGAAAAAAATTTTCATAAAAACTATTAAACCATTGAATATCAATTTATATTAACTTTATTTAATAGCTTATTTAACATATAATATTTTGAGCTATACCATTTATCTTATAATTTTGGTAAATAAGTATAATTATGCTGTGAATAATAATTGTATAATATTTTCGTTAATAACTTTTTTGAAACATTAATATTAATGTTGAAATGATATTTAATCAAATAATTTTTGAATAATTTATTTGTTATAGGGTTATCTCCAATGGGGGAAGGCAATCAAAAGACAGATAACATATCTGATAAGGTACAAAATATTTAGTGTATTGTTTTAAAACATTGAAAATATCTTTTAATTTTATTTGTATGTAACTTTCAGTCTTTAGATTCTTGTAAGTTAACAAGAAAAGAATCATATAAGGCTCAAAGAAAAAATTATCGAATGGAAAAGAAAAGAGTTGCCAATGAACTTTTAAGTTCATTCAAGGATCCAACTGTTATTGTGATGAGCGATTGGCTTAAAGTTCGTGGAACATTAAAGAGTTGGACAAAACTATGGTGTATTCTCAAACCTGGTTTGCTGTTGCTATACAAAAGCCCCAAAACAAAAGTGCTCATCTAACATTATTTTTAATTTATTATGTATTTGTTCATTTAATGTTATGTCCACATAATTATTGCAGAGCAATCATTGGGTGGGAACTGTATTACTCAATACATGTCAAGTGATAGAACGCCCAAGTAAAAAAGATGGATTTTGCTTTAAATTATTTCATCCTTTGGAACAGTCAATATGGGCTCCAAGAGGTCCAGAAAAAGAAGCCATTGGTAAATAACCAATATGAATTAATTAAGAAATATATTTTTATTCTAATATTTTTTCAGGTGCTGTTGTACAACCTTTACCAACTTCTTACTTAATCTTTAGAGCTCCTTCACAGGCAGCTGGCAAATGTTGGTTGGATGCACTTGAATTGTCTTTACGTTGTTCCTCTTTAATAGTACGTTCAACAAGTGCATTACCGCGTGCTTTGCCACATGATACTACAACAACTCATGAAACACAATGGAGTGAAGCAGATTATGAAAAACATTTTGATGAACATGGTAAGCATTACAAAACGGTATTTTGTACAATATATGTATTAAATAAAAAGTTAGATTTTGTTAAACTCCTTTTTTTTCCTTTGAAAAGATTGATAATATAGGAAACATTCCTCTTTCATGTTTGGCACATAATTAACTTTAGTAGAGGGAAAAATATTTAGTTAAGTTTTATTCTTGGAAGTTATTGGTACTAATTATAACATTATTATCATCCCTTTCCTGACGTTTGTCACCTTAAATACTTGCTTTTGATATCCACAGTATGCTTGTCTAATTATGCTCCTCGATCACCTTCAACGCCTCAAAGACGTTTGTTGTCGTGTCCTCAACCAGTTACACCTTCTATAGCAAATGATTCTAAAAGCATTTGTCCTTCACCGACTCCAATGTTTCAACAATTATACCATGCAGTAGCATATTGGGACAAACAACTTCGAGATTTATCTCCAACACTTGCTACAGATACTGAAGTTGTTTTGTCTTCAAATTCTGTGGACGCATTAGGTGATGGAGATGTTTATTCCTGTTTTGAATCTTCTACTTCCAAACCTATCCCATCTTCCACTCGGCGCATGACTGTTCCTTCTGTACATGTCCTCGAGTATGGTACTCCAAAAGTAGTAACGCTAGATCCTTTGCACTCCTCACATACAGACTTGGACGACATTAGCCAACCGGAAAATGGAGTAGCAGCTGATGCAGAAATTAGTGCTTCGGATAGTGAATCTGAAGGATCGGCCAAGGAAGACCAGCCGGAGACAGTTAATGAAACACCATATGTAGCAAATGAACAGGAAGTTCTTGGATCGGTAAAATAAATTGTAACATATTACACGTTATGTTTATAGTAGAGATTATTTTATACAAAGCTTTTATACTTCCATTTGATATAGGCTGGAGAAGTAGTTACAGAATTACAGGAAGAACAAAAGTCTTTAATATGGTTCTTGATGAAACAAGTTCGACCAGGCATGGATTTGTCAAAAGTGGTCTTGCCGACTTTTATTTTAGAACCTCGTTCGTTTCTAGAAAAGTTGGCTGACTCTTATTATCACGCAGACTTATTGTCCCAGTGAGTATAAGTCTATAGATCTCCAAGGATATTTATATAAAATTAGAAGTATATAAGCTTTGTCCTTTGTTTTTACAGAGCAGTGGTAGAAGATGATGCATTTACACGCATGAAAGTAGTCGTTAAATGGTATTTATCTGGATTTTATAAGAAACCTCAAGGTTTAAAGAAACCGTATAATCCGCTTTTGGGTGAAACTTTCCGTTGCTATTGGCAACATCCTAATGGTTCTAGAACTTTCTACATTGCTGAGCAAGTAAGATATTTATTTCGTACAGTTTTCAGTGTTGTGCAATTTATATTGCTATTATCTGATTATAAAAATCTTAATTTTTATAGCTATCTCATCATCCACCTATATCAGGATTCTATGTTACAAATCGACAAGATGGCTTTACTATTAGTGCTACAATTATTGCTAAATCTAAATTTTATGGTAAATATGCGTACCTTTTGTTTTTAAGGAATGAATTATATACAAATATATATTCTATCTTCCAGGAAATTCAACATCAGCAGTGCTAGATGGTGTTGCAATATTGACAATGTTACCCAGAGGAGAAGATTATACAATGACTATACCCTATGCTCATTGTAAAGGTATTCTTATGGGAACATTAACTATGGAATTAGGTGGAAAGATTCATATAAATTGTGAGAAAACTGGTTACCATACTGAATTAGAATTTAAACTGAAGGTAATGTACGATATAATACGTTTAAAGTAAAAATGGCATACATAAAATTAACATATCGTTTCATTTTATAGCCATTCCTCGGTGGTGTAGAACAAATGAATCAAGTTGCAGGAGGTATACGCCTTGGAAAAGAGACTCTTGCCACTATATCAGGGTATTGGGATGGTCAAATATTAATTACTGATAAAAGGACAGGGGTATGTTGCACATATCGAGTTCCATATGTAATATATGAATACTATGTTAACTAATCTTACAGCAAGAAAGTGTATTTTTCAATCCTACTCCGGAAATACGTAAAAAAAGATTGAAAAAGTATACTGTACCTTTGGAACACCAAGGTCTATGGGAAAGTGAAAAATTATGGTATGATGTTACGCAAGCAATCAATCGGGACGATCAGATTGCTGCTACTGAAGCAAAAACGCAATTGGAAGAAGCGCAGAGAGATCGTGCCAAAGAACGAAAACAAAAAGGGCAGGAATGGATTCCTAAACACTTTGTTCAGGTAATGAATAATGAAAAGAAAAATTAAAATTAAAATGACTTTTATAGTTCTTAAGAAATTATTTTTCTCTACTAACAGGACATTATAACGGGTAACTGGGTTTATCGACATGCGGACGTACGACCGTGGGATCCTAGAAATGATGTTGTGCAATATGAACAAGATTATATAGTGCGTACAAAAACTAGGCACAAGACACCAATTATGCGGTAGGTACTAATAGCACTAACATTGTTTCACCTAATCATCTAATTGCATGCAAGGAAATGATTCGTTATTTTATTTTGTTTATATTATTTGATACACTGCAATAAGTTATATAAATTTATTAAAAACGCAATAAAGTACATTTAATTAACAATAACTGTATGTGCTTATTGACGTTTTTTTTTTCTTACATTTTTTATAAGATTCATATTATATCTATGATTATACATCTTGCTTTTAAGGTATATGTAATTCAAATATATTGTCATTCATGTATATGTAAGAAATAATTGTATGTTCCATGTTTTATGAGTTTTTGGTGGAATATTTTCATTGATATTTGTTAAACGCAATAAATATCTTTTTTTGTATTTTTAAGGTAATAAATACGCAAGTTTTAATGGCGTTTCACATTAAGATTACCATACTAATAAGCTAACTGCAATCAATCATTTGTCTGTATAATCGTGTATAACATTAACACGATCTGTGTAATTCATTCAATAAAATCTTTTGTGAAATTTTTAATCATTACATATTGAATATGCTATAAGAAATAAAAATAATCGTTCGTTATAAATTATAAATATGTAATACATATAAAATACTTATTCAAAATAGAAATCGTGCTTCACTTATATAAAAAAAATAACTATTGCGAAGCTTATTTACATTACAGGTCCCACTCCTTCAAGCCGAGTCTCGTTCTTCACTCTCTGTATTAAAATCTTCCAAAAGACAATTGTCTAATAATTTACCATTAACAGAAACAGCACATGATTCTGGAAGTTCCTCTGCAGAGGTACATTCAGATTCTAGTCAGTCAGTAGGTAAAAGGAAGCGTTCTACCGCAAGGTAAGGTTTATAATATTCCCTCGATATATATAAAATGATAATAATTAATATAGTTTTAATAGTTTTTTCTAATAAGAGATTATTGTGTTTTTAGGATAATGGATATTATTAAAGAAATAGAAAGGCAAGTGTCAGAATACGGTGATAGGCTTAATCGCATACAACTTATATTAGAACAACTTGCTATAAAACAAAGAGAGCAAGGTGATCAGCATCATAGTATAAGTATGTTCAAAAGCTTCATAGATATGATTCGTGTTATTGTAATTGTTTTTTCTGTACAATACTTTATAAAAATATGGAGCGACGAACCCAGCGGAGGTTGAAGAACATGGTAATAATATCGTAGTATAAATTGTATATGTCATTTATCTTGTATCAATTCGAATTATCAGCTTTTATGTAAAGGAAAGCCTTAAAGGGAGAAATCCTAAAATTTAAAGTACCTAATTTATACGTGTTTTTGGTGGAGGCATTAAAACACGTTTTTAGTAGATCGTCGTTAAAAAATAGAATAAAAAGATTCAAAGATTTTAAGGAATATTGGTAATCAGAGTGCAATCTTATTTTACTGATAGTTGTCAACATTTGAATTATTATTCTTCGAACGTATAAAGAAGGATTCATTTTCTAGTGATTAATGTAAGATTTTTTTAGTCATCGTTCAACGGCCCTCACTGCAGCAATGAGCTATACAAGGTAAAGGGATTGAATTTCTTTGAGCTTATCGTGTATATAATATTTTATGTGCTAGTGCACAAGAAATAATTATATATTTATTCAGAGATTCTAATGATGTTGTAGTCTTTACTGCAGGCGCTCAATAGTAAAGTATATTGATAATAATAAGGTTATTGTAAAGATATAACAGTATACATTGTTATAAATCTGATTATTGTGGGATTATGAAGACCATGAAATAAGAAAAGCTAATTGCAGTTCCAAACTAAGCATAGAATCGATTTTACTGCTGTTGTCAGGAAATCGTAACTTGGAAATATTAATTGGTCATCAGTATTGTTATTATTGATTGAAAAATCCTAATAAAATAAGTACCAAATATTAAAATTGTCCACATAATGTTAAACAAAAATTTCGTCCAAACTTTTGCTAGATAGCTTAAGCCATGAATTTCTTTCTATCATTTGCACTTTCATGATTGATAAATTTATTGCAATGCTTTCAGTGTAACTGTATCGTTTCGTTTCTTCAAAAATATCTGTACTGATATTCTATTTTATTCCAGTAATTGAAAATAATTTTTTAAATGTGGTTATGAATCATTACAACGTTAAAATTTATTTTGCATTTCTTGTAACTTTATTAAGTATACATTATTTCGGAAGTAAAAATTTCATCTTTTAAATGAAATATTTTTCTTAATAAAAATAGATGAGACTATACTTATTTCGTTGCTGAAATAATAATTTAACAAATAATTTTCAAATTTAATAATGTCATATCAGATTAAAAATATTGACAATATATACAATAGGTATTGATAATTCTATATCAGTTTAAATATCGAATTCACATTCTTATATTATTATATTAAAATAAAATATTTTAATAGAAACAATCGATATTTGCTTGTAATGGAATAATTACATATTAATAACATTTAATTCATGTTTTTATATTACATTTTAGTATACAAAAAATTCCCCCATTTTGGTTAAAGTACAGTGTGCATATTTTAGTAGAATAAAAAACAGAAATAAACCTATTTCTTTCATAAACGTAAATGCTAATATTACAAAAAAATTTTAATACTATGAATTTTTTTATTTATAATAAATATTAGATTACTGCAATTAGCTCTAGTTTCCATTTTTAATTATTTATTTAACAAAAATTATTATGAACATAATTTTTAATATCATCACGTATATATTGACAAGTTTTGTTATCAAAGTTTATATAACTATTAAATTATCCAATATCGAATGTAATTGAAATTTATTTAGTCGATATTTATCGAAAAAATTATTGACACTCAGGTATGATCTTCTTGATATACATCGTATTTTGCACAAAAATTTGTAATTGTCTTTTGTTTGTACTATTTTTATTGTTTAATTTTCCGTATATAAACTAATTCTTCGCTGAAAACAACTTTATTTAAAAATCTCATAAAGAAAAATAATTGTATT